CTCTAGTACGTGCTCTCAAGTAGTAGCTGCTTTCAGTAACCTGAACTAACAGTCAAGGAAATTATATAAAAGACACTGGAAACGTACCCATATTCGTCAAAATAGCCACCACGCCCTTCAGTTCCAAAATCCTCTCTGAACACAATCTGCCATGTAAAAACAAAATGTCCACAATGTGCTATACAAACATCAGCGAACAAAACTAATAAACTTCCAGTGAAATGGAACACAAAGAACAACCAAATCCAGTTTGTACCCCTATAGTTACAAGATCCAATTCCAAGGTAATAAGTTTTATATCTAAAATATTAAAGTTATACTGGTGTCTAATCCCCATTATGACTACATGTGACATATTCAGTCACAAAAGGCACCTTGCAGCCGAGTGCACTAATAAATGGAAGAAAAATACTCTTATTTCTACAAAAGTGAACTTTAGGTCCTACAATGACCTTATGAACAAAATGTTTATAGAATCAATTCTCACCTGAATGTTATCGATGTTATCACGGTTCCATAGGGGTAAAAATAAGCGATTTGCAAAACGAAGCACTAACTGCCAAGAGAGTTTTGAGAGAACAAGATGAATCATAATCTCAATAAACGAAGAGCCAAAATAATATATCTCTACACATAATATGTATTGAATTTAATTACTTACCAGGTTTTGCACTAACTCCTTTCCAAGGTAGTGATCAATACGATAAATCTGTTGTTCATTAAAGAGCTCTCCCAGTTGTGCACTCAACTCTTCGGCAGAGCTCAAATCCTTTCCGAAGGGCTTTTCAACAACAATCCGAGTCCATCCACCAAGATCAGCTGTCAATATTAATTAGGTACAAACTGAGGTCTTTATGCAGGTGGATGGAGTTGAAATATAGTGTAGCACATAATAGATAAATGAGAGTGTAAATGGAAATCAAAATAAATCATCAAGGACTAAAAAGTTAATGATCCTTCCAAGAAGAAAGAGAGAGGTTGTGTGGTCATGCTTTCCAAGCTTTTATGGTCCTCATAGTTTTCAAAGATAAATTAATTCAAGGACAAAACAATTTGGAAAGTATCAAGAATGTCCTTTCTAGCAGGTCCCCATAACACGGGATGCAACAACCTGAGTTTACTATATATTTAATAGGAAATTTTGACCCCTGAGAAGTATTAAACATCCTCTATAATGATGATTCCTTCAACTTTCATCTTAAAACATTTATTATCCAACAGAAGTTATAAAGATAATAATATATATGCTTTAACACAAAGTGAAAGATAAAACAAGCTGGAAACCATCTCTTTGCCAAAAATATAGCTTTAGTTCTTTACTTCTTTTAAACTAACAGTAGATTGGAAACACAACATTAACTTCAAGGTCTTTCTTCTTTTGATCATCAGGAAACAAAAAGTCATTGAAATTCAAAAAGGGAAGCCAAAATATTTGATCATATTGTACATCACTATTTAACTTTTTACTATGAGAGATATGGAATTAACAAAATTAAAACCAAAATGTTTGATATTATTGGACATTTCATATGCATGAACAAACACACACACACACAATCACAAATATATCTTTTCCATTAAGTTCAAAAACATGCTTCTATTTATTAATGCCCAAATTAAATGTGCCTGTGACTAAGTTCATGAATGGGTTAATTCATGATTAGAGAAAGCAAGGTTTTCTTTCCCAATAACCAGGGAAGTGCTTTTCACTTTTTCCCTATTTTTCAAATAAGAGGAGAGAAAGAGAACTTATTCATGAACAGACCGATAGCACCAAACAGGGTTATAAAGTACATGTGAATTAGTCAATTTACGATTGCTCATGAATAACTGTTATGTTCAAACTGGGCCTAAGACTCAAAGAGATCCTCCATCATTATGTAAATAATAGAATATTCATTATCACGTAAACGAAAGGACTAATCTAACCATTAAAATAATTTAGGACAATAGGCAAGTGAAAGCTGTGGGCATACACTGCAATTTTTCTGTTCATAAAATTAAAGAGTGAAGAAAATTCTTTTTAAAAGTATGTACCTCTTTATAGCATGCTTACATTAGTGAAAGATGACTAGTCAAAGATGCTTACATTGGTTCATACAGTGTTTTCTGATCATTTTGCATACAGAAGGATACACGGATGGAGGCAATGCAAGATAAAAGAGCCTTCGAGAAGACCCTTCATGACTATTTTTGGATTGTTCATGAAGAGATATTTCTTTGTCCAATAATTTAAAGCCCTCATCACTATCATAGGAGCCAGATACATACTTGATCTGCAAATAACAACATTGAATGCACTTATTGGGACCAAGTCAGTACAAAATAATTCTCACACAGGTAAGGAAGAAACCGCCTTTACCAATTGCAAGAACTTTGAAACAGCTTCCGAAAACTCAGATGAAGCTTCGTTTCCTTTTCCTAGATGCCTGTGTAGCCATGCTTAAATATAAATCACAGGTTCATCATGGTATACGCACTAGGTGGTGTGAACCAATAAAAAGGGAACATAAAATCCCAAACTTTTGAGTGCAATTCAAAAAGGAAAGCAAGTCTGTCTAATCCACCACAGATTAAAAGCAAAGAACATCAATGTTAATTATTAACAGAAAACAGATATATAGTAAAAACCCTCAATAAGATTCATCTAGCATCTTAGGAAGGCATAATTATTGCAGAAAATTAAAACAATTTGGAAAGATGGAATATAACCTCTTAGAAACTGCAAAGTTCAACTTCCCTTCAGATTTTCCAATATACAGTCAACAATGGGATTTGGATTGGATTGTGTATATATCTTGCTATCATCTCTTTTATATATTCTTCCTCTTACCTTTTTTTTTTTTCATACAAAGCTTTAGAAGAACCAGATGGTCTTTAAAGTTGATGATTGAGTTGGTGTCATGAAAGGTGTTAGACCACTGAGATTATTTGTTCTAGACATTTCCATGTATAGTCACTTGTCTACCACCTCTACAGCTGATAGTACTAGATTACTAGCAACACCCCAGATCTCTCCACACCAAACTGATAGTACTAGATTACTAGCAACACCCCAGATCTCTCCACACCAAACTTTCTCTGCAACAAAGTATAATGTGGAAAGCGATCATATGAGGAAGAGGCACATGAATTGTCTCATCACATTTCACGTTCTCTTGATATCCCTAACTCATGGAATATATAACAAGAGACAAATATGTTTATTATTAGCAATATGTTGTTCATAGACCTGATGGAACAATGGTTGTGTCAGATGTCTACAAGTTATGTAATCTACAGTTGTGCAGAGTTAATTTATTCGCCTATACATTCTGTCATTGTCAATGATCTTCAGTGGGTAAATTTCACACAATTTGCAGATCACACATTTAGTACACTGTCCTCAATGGAGACCTATTCAGATAAGGAAGGCATTTTCCATTCATGTTATTAGTTCTAAATGTATGCATATTTTGTCAAGATTAGCATGTGGTTATCCTATACATAAACACAAATATATTATTCTTGTACTTAAGTGATAAAATAATTGAGGGAAATGTAGTAAAGAAAATTTTGGCTATACAACAAGGGAACAACACATTATTTGTAATTTTTGTGAAACTAGTTCAAGGGTAAGTTCTTCATATATGGAAGGCAAAAACTAAAATCTCACCCACGTATGCGATCTCTCAAGCCATCATCTGAGAGCTTTGTCCGTGCATATCCAAATATGTACACTTCATTTGGTGGCAAGAAGCCCTAACAAAATTCACCATTATTGAGGAGTGGATCACAATGGTCTCAGACAATATGAGAATTGCAGTGAAAATGGTAGGATCCACGCATCCAGAAATCATTACAAAATTACCAATAAATAGAACATCTAAATTCAACAACACACAATAACGCACATTGGAGACTATTTAATAACAAGGACAAAATAACTATCATAGAATATTGATTTCAATTGATGATACTTATCATGAGTTTATATCACAAATGTATAAATTTCTAAAATCTGAAATCATTGAAGCTCAAATAAAAGACAAAATAAAAGGTCAAGTGTCATTGAAAAAATACAAATTCTGACCAACTTTTAACCTCAGATCATTTCTTAAAGTTTAAAATATGCAAAACTGACTTAAATTAATATTTGATGAATCAATAAATCATGCATTCTAAGCAAAACCTCTACTAACTGGGTATTTTGAGGAGAAACCCCGTATAACGCAGGTTCCTTTAGCAAGTGCACTTGCAACAACCAAATAAACACCACAAGTAACACCTTTGAGAAATTTCAATTGATACAAATCCATATATTGTGTATGTAAGCGATGATTTGTATATCATTTGGAAGGTAAATTTCATGCAAATAGCAGGTGCAATCCTTTTCCACCAGCATTGAATTCCGGGGGTTCTCCATAAATGCTCAAAGGAAGGGTTATGTTTTTGGGGAACGTATATGACAAGGCTTCTCAATTTTAATAATAAATTAATTAATAGTTTTGCTTAGTTTTGTCTTTTAACATGGAATAAGAGACAAATGGCTACCCCTGATTGGAACCCTCATTCCATTGCATCCCGGCAGGCATTCATCTCGTGCACTAGTAGCCATCTCACATGACCATTGATCAACAAGTAGCTCAATCAAAGTCACGATTTCTTCTGTACTATCTACTATGCAATTCGAAATTCAAAATCACGTTTTTTGCCCTTCAGTTTACTTGAAATCGAATCATGAAATTGTGAAATGTAAAGATATCGGGACTAAAAGATGATCGCAAACAGAATTCATATTAATTTTGACTTTACGTTCTGTGATACAAGTATGCCTTCCGGTGATTTGATCAGTTTCCTCCACTTGCATACCGTTAACATCATTGAAAATTATCCATCACACTGAATACTGCCAAAACAATTATATAAACTATAAACTCTGCCATTTCAAAAAATAATTATGCAAACTCTAAATTATTAGGCGGCTCAATAAGTGGTAACCTAACAATCGACATGCAAGTGTTTATGATTCACATGCATCAATAAAGTCTAAGACTATCCATTAACAAAAAAAAAAAACTGATTAATTACCCCACAAAGAGACATTTTTCTAGTATGAAGCAAAGAAGCATGCAAAAAAAAAGTGGAAGTCTTCCCCCTCCCACAGCGTGCCCACACACACAGCACAAAGCACAAAGTCACACACGCATACATGCAAAAGAACATGACAATTAAGATCGTGATACCATGGGTATGTATATCACACACGTACATATGCAAAAGACATGACAATTAAGATTGTGATATAAAGGAACACAAATAAATGAGTTATAGCTTAGCCAAAAAAAAAGTCAATCATATCTAGAGGACAGGAAATAAAAGATTCATAAAACTAACACTTTGATGCGCATAGGAATCCACCACAAAAGATGAAGAAGTTTCAAGAGTTTTACTAAAATTGTGACAAATTTATATAGTAGTGTAGTTCACGATGAATAAGAAAACCTGTTGGAAAAGGTGGAAAAGAGCAGGAAATGTCTTTTTCTTGGCAAGGTCCCCTGAAGCTCCAAGAACAACAATGGACAGGCAGCCACTTTCTAGAGTGCTTTCAGACTCGACTCTATCTGTAAACGAATCGCTTTTCAAGGAACTAGTTTCTGAGAAAGAATCACTCTTAATGACTTGTGACGATTCACTAGATCCCATGGCCTTAGCCTACTAAAATAAAGAACCCTGTCACTAATGAATTCCTTCAAAACTTCTCTTCAGGCCTGTAGAAGGACAAACTAGGAGTTAGAGCACGCAATTTTACAGTTCGAAGACAAACTCATAAACTAAGCCCAAATTAGCACACATGATATGATTTAAACAGCCATAATCACAAATTTACGACTTTCTTCTAGCTCGGTAATATCTGGCAACGATTTGAACAAACGCAGCCCTGCTTTAGTTGGTGCTACTACCACATTTAACCAAACCTGAGTTAATTAGATCCTAATGATTCCAGTAATACAGCAAAATTATAATTTGAAGAGGCACATAAGAGCAAATCAACAGAAATCAGCCAAGAAGGAGCCAAGTTTAGCAGCATCTACTAAAAATAGAGGCTGTATAGTCCGGCTCTCATTAGTTTCATTACTATTGCATTACTTTCAACTTTAACTGATCAAACTTTTAATCCATTAAAATTGGTCACACTCATGGCCTCTTAAAATGGACATATAGATCAAAGAGAACACATCAAAAACCAGGAAATCATGCAGATTTAGATCAATGAAATGGGAAAAATGGACTAAGAACATGAATTCACAGTCAGATCTGCATTTTCTTTTTCACTGAATTGTCAAAAAGTACAAATAGGCGTGACAAATAAAAAATGATCATCACGATTCCTGAATAAAACGGGAAACGGAAAAAAAAGAGCAGGAATTTACAATAACAGGAACAATTTTTCACTGAATTCTGAAAATTCGTTGATAAACCAGTATGTCAATAAAAAATGAATATTGCGAACTCAATTTTACCGAGACTTTTAGCGAAGAAGATAAAGGAAGGACGAAAAGAGAGCAAGTACCCGGTAGAGAGAGAAACTGATAATGTCCTCTGATCCTCCCGCCTTTGTCTTAACTCTGAATTCTGAAACCGGTGACAGATGGTTATCTTGGGTATTTATATGTTCATAAGCTCCTCTCTCTCTACCATCTTCCACGTTTGTACTGGTGTTTCTCCCTCTACCAGGTCAACATCTGTACAGGTTTCTCACTCTACTATAATCTATACGTGTCTCTGTCCGATCTCCCCCATTTTTGTAGATGTGTTTCTCTCTCTACCGCTTCAACACCTGCACTGGTTTCTCTCTCTACCCGCCACCAAACTAGCCGCCTTGCTGACTAACGAAGAGTGTGGCAAGCGTCTTTTTCTGAAAACGAAAAAATCTAAAGGGGCAAAAAAGGAAATGAAAAGTGAGAAATCTTTTCTCACAAGATAATAGAACCGATCATTAATGTAACGACGGAATTTTTATTTTTTTAAAAAAACTTCTGTCTAGTGGCCGTGTTTCAAACCGGGTGGAGTGGATGGTTTGCCTACATATTGTCCGATTACTAAATCCACGGTCCCGATGGGTCTAAATGTTGATCCAATTTAAAGAGGATCTAAAAATATATTCAATCAATTTAAAACGTGATAAAAAAATATTAACAGGTAACCGGTCCTATAACATTATGAAACTGCTTCGATCATGAATTCATGATCAATTACCATCCAAATGGTTGATCTGAATAAAAAATCGTCAAATTTTAAAATACTGTTTAGACATAAAAGCCGTTATTTCAAAAAGAGTAATGATCCTATAAGACCCTCTCCTACCCATGTATAGGACCTAAAAGATCACCATTAAAATTCGCTTCCAAATTTAATAGTAATTTTTTTGAAGTCCTATACATGGGTGGTAGAGGGTATCGTAGAATCATTTCTCTTTCAAAAAATGTAAGCAGTGATGGCGAATCTATACCATCTTGGAATTGGATTTGGTTTGATTATGATTATTTATCATCTAAATTTAGATTTGAATCGAAAAATAGTGGCATGGATGGTGAAATTACAGTCGATGGATGAAGATCAAAATTTCCACAAGTGGAATGAAATTTTGCATTTATGCCTTCTTTATTAGCAATTTTTTTTGTTGAATGGTTTTTAAATTTTAAGTGACAACAGTTAGCCAACCTTTCGAGGGACAATAACCATTACGCCCTTGCTTTTCTAGATGGTCATTTTTCTTGAAAAGTGGACAAATAATCTTCCAAAATAGACTTAGTATGAATTCTGTTAAGTATCAGTACTTTATTTGGTGCGTGTGAAACTGTGAACGTGTGTATTGTAAGGGAGTAGGTGAAGATTAATATCGGTGGGATCAATATTAAATTGGTGATTAGTCATTATTTGGGGTCTTCAACTACCAGTAATGATGGAATTATAGAAAGCAATGTGGCATCCCAAAACCTGGGGTGGGGATCCAAAAAAAATTGATAAGACCAAAACCAAAAAATATAGAGTGGGACTTGGATTTGGATCAAACCCAAAAATTAAAATATTTATGTATTTAATTATATTTAAATATATTTCAAATATATGTGGCTAACCTGAGTGCGATCAACCATGAAATATGTTGATAACTTCTATATTTTCATTTAATTGGTTTCGAAACTAGATAGTTGGGATAAAGCTATGATGATGATAAAATTAAGTGGGTTTCAAATCCATAGCTTCAAAATGTATGACTTTGTCAAAACTACTTTGGGGAGTCCAATGAAGATTATATAAAAGAAGTTTTGAATTTGAATAAAAATCAAAATTGATGGATTTTTTTTGTGTTATTTAAAAAAAATTAGTCATGCAACTTTACCTTTGCAACCGCTTAATTATCTTGAAGATTTATTTAATATGTTCACATTTGATTAGCTTCTGATTTTTTTTCTCAATTTTGCCTATTCTATGAGATAAGGCATCCAGTTGTTTAATGTCAACTCTTATTTTGGTGAGCAACTCCTATTTTTATACTACGTTGTCCTTTGGAGACTGGACTTCCTTTTGAGATTGGACTTTACCTAGATGTCCTTATTTTTCTTTTATAATTCAAATTTTAAAATACTCTTGTTCTATGTTTTAAAGTTTCATTTTAAGTATTTTTACCTTCTTGTTAAGTTTTGATTTTATTTGGCACTCATATTTCTTTTCTCTCATTTATAGTTTTCCAAATATAGATTTAAGTAATAAAAATAAGAGATTTTTAAGGTTAGATAAATATGGCTTTATTTGGTAAGCTTGATAATTTTTTATTCTATATCTATTATACCATTAAGAGTGTTATAAATTCAATTCACAAGTAGAGAACTATGACATTCAACTAAAGTAAGACCCTATAAACAGATAGACTTTAAAATAGGGTATCTACTAACTTTTTTTCAATTAATTGGAGTTGGCTAATCCTGGTCCGTCCTTATGTTATCTCTTCCTAAGACTATTCTAAATCAAATCCAATTTGAAAACGAATTTTTCCCTTTAAGAAATATCATAGCGCTATCAAAAGTAAATTATTTTGGATTATGTATGTATATGTAATCTTAGGATTATTATCTTTATAAAAACCAATCTACTCCGTTACTCAAATATTAGAGACTTTACTTTTTATAAAATGATTCTTTTTACGTATTTTTGGAGTGCCTCAAACTAGTATTTGGAAAACATAAAGACTTTAATAATAACTAGATATATAGAGTTCATAAATAAACAAAGAGAAGAGAGGGCTTTTTCAAAAAGGAGATAAAAATAACAGGCTTGAACAAATTAAAAGTGATGCCTCTACTTGTATCTTCCTGACTACATGCTTCTCATGAATATTCATTTTTTTTCTTTTTCTTTTTTTTCACTTAAAGCTGCTATAGCCTGTACTACTCCATCTCTAACAATAACACAACACATCAGTCCATTGATAATAGATAAGAGCAAACCTGAATTTAAAAGAGGAAGAGAATGGTCTATTGCCAATACCTAAAAATGCATCTGTTATTTATTTTTATATCTATTTGTTGAATTTATGATTCTTATTTTTTAAAATCTACTCTATTTCAAGCACTAGCAGTTCCATATGGCCACTACAGGACAACAACCCAATTTCAAAATGTGGGAAAGTAGATTAGATGAGATCATGCCATTGTTAGGACGACTCTCATCAAATATTTTTAAAGGTTAAGTACCCCACCAAATATTATTAGTATGCAATTATAATAGGTGCAATTATCCGTATACCAATAACAAGACTTTGTAGTAGAAACATGAGGAAACATGCAGTCCCAATTGGTGGATTATTCAAAAGATTTGATCCCATGTGGGATTCTGATATGGGTCACTATCATTTTCCATTGGACAATGAATAATGCATGCTATAGTGAATTACCATCCGTCTTAGAAAACACGACCCGGGATCGGAATCTGGCCCATAACCGGGAACTGGTCAGCATAATTGCCCTATCTGGGTAAGTCCTGACCGGCTAAAAGATAAAATAATTTTTAAAAAAAAATCTCAACAAGTTCTAAAAAGTACGTTTACAATAAAATTAAACAAAATGCATCCAAATGAGAGTAAAAAAATGGTGAAAAATATGAATGATGAAAATTAATTTGTGTTTAGGGGTATTTTAGAAATAAAAAATCATAAAAATAAGTATATGCTGCCAAAATACCTCCCAATTTTTTTCAAAACAATTGAAAACATTAAAAAACGTATTAGAAACAAACTTCTTATTTTTTGAATATATATATATATATATGAAAAGTCTTCGCAACGCCTATAGGCGAAAATGAACAGTGATTTCGCTACCCTTATCACCGTCCAAAGTTCATCGCATGATCACGATTGTCTGGTAGTGTTTTATTTTTTACTTTTTTCTACAAATCAGAATGATATGAAATTTGGATCTTGTGTACATCTTAGTGAGACGCATCTAATAGAAATATATAAAAATAATAATTCACAAAAAATATTGACCAAAATACCCTCAAAACTTTTCCCCAAAATATTTTAGGGGTATTTTGATCAATTTTTTCATGTAAAATAATTTTTTGATATTTTTCGTAGATTCGTCTATTATTGATGAATGTACACTCCAAACTTCATGTCATTCCGATTTGTACAAAAAAAATTAAAAAATGAAATACTACTAGACAATCGTGACCGTACGATGAACTTTGGACAGTGATGGGGATAGGAAAAATCATTGTTCATTTTCGTCTATAAGCATTTTGTAGTATCTTCCACATATATATATATATATATATATATATATATATATATATATATATACTATACTAGTATCGTACTCGTACCCTACTACGTAGACGTAACGCTACGTACTCGTACGTACCG